TGTTGTACTGTTGAATGAAAATGTTTGAAATGAATGAAAGAAAATGTATGTTACAAAAATGTCAAATTACCCTAAAACTATCTTTGTTGCTTTAAAACTGTCAGTCAAAAAAAAAGTAATTTGGAAAAAATAGGTTTTTGTCTTTGTCTTGTCACTCAATGTGTAAACAGTCTGTTTTGGTGTGGAGCCGAAAGTGACGCCACTGACCTTCGTCCCATCATTTCCGGCATCTGCGCACTCCCGCTATCTTGAAACGGACATTTTGAAAGACTTGTCAAGTCCCGAGGCTCAGGTCAAGTTTCACACCGTCAAATAACCAAGCAAGTCCAAAAATTGACAACCACTTGAGCCCCCAAACTCCGCCTCGTACCTTCAGCACCTCGACAGGGACCTGAGCCGGAGGCCCGCAGAGTGACGCGCTGACGCAGACGGGCGACGACGGGGAGGCGGCGGGCAACCGCAGAAGCTGCTGCTGCTGCGCTTCCTTCTGCTCTTCCTCGAGAGCCTGCCGACGCATCAGATCCTGACGCATCAGGACCCTGTGGGACAGAGCGGCGTCAGGATCGGACGCCGGCGGTCACACCAGAGAAGCCGGAAGCGTACCTGGAGGACATCGCCGCGGGCACGGATGAAGAGGAAGACAAGGTGGAGGAAGAGGAGCCGCTTGCTGAGGTACTGAGGAGACATGACGAGACACAAATGTCCCTTTCAGGTTGCGAGCCAAATATCCGAGGTGTAACGTGTCATCACGTCGCGACACGGCGTAGGGACGGCGAGCCAGAGGTCGGTGAGGTTACCTGCCGTGGATGGGCTGACTCTTGATCTGGTAGAAGGTGTTGCAGTCTGCTGGCAGCAGGGCGTCCACCTCAATATCAGCCACGATCCCAGACTCCACCCTATAAGAGCGCAGACACAAGCGACCGAATCAGAGGCCTCTCGGTTCACGCCGGAATCCCTCCGACAATCTTCCATTCTCCTTATGAAAGGGAATTAGGTACAGTTTAGTCGCTGA